GAGTGAGAATTCGCTTCAAGACTTGGAGCCGAACCTCTTCAAAGCATACACTTGACCCGAATCTGACCCAGCCATCCAACTCCCTTTTAATTGTGGACGATACACAATTCGATCCTGACAAGAATCAGGTGACCTATGACTTATGAAGGCAGGCTCTGAGGCATCACACAATTAAACGTATGTAGTTTGGTTTGTCCCTCGAGCCTCCGCGTTGCTGGGCTTCAGCGATCCTTGGTCGGATTCCAAAGGTCGTGTTTCAGTGGGTTACAGGACCTCTTGTCCTACAAGTTGGAAGAATTCTGCTGACCGCTTTGCTGCTTCGACTATTACGTCATCATGGCATCCTCTTTTATTGTCAGCCTGCATGACAGCGAGTCTTTTGCTTGCATCGTCTTGAGGGAAACTTTCGGATAAATCCTTCATCTCCATTTGCAGCATTAATTTTGTGATGTGGAGGTATAATCTAAGATAATTTTATGATGAGGGACATTCGTAAAAAATGCCAAAATACCTGCAAAACTTGGAGAGTCCGTGAGTGATGTTCGACTCGCATCCCCTGAAGTCGAGAAGAGGCCGGATCGTGTGGCCCGACATTACTCCCGGACTTTATTATTGCTCCTGGTGGGACTCGAACTCCGAATGGTCGTGTCTTGCAGGCTCAAGTAAGAGGCAAGTTCTTCGACGAACTTTGGAGGCCCAGGAAATTCACATGTTGCCCTCCAGAGTGACAGAGATTGGATGAATTTTTCCGAAAGTGCACCAATCTCGAGACTAATCTCGTCAGTCTTGTGTTTAGTAACGCATCCTGATCGGGGCCGGGCGCCACCGCCGAGCCTCGGTGAAGGTGGAAGCTGACGAGTGGAGCTGGAGAAATGCAAGTTTCCCAACCGGGAGGCGAACAAGCGAACACACCTCGTCCCCATCCAACCTCTCCATCTATGCATGCTCCACCCGTCTTGCCCACTTTTGCCTGAAACACACCCCGCCCCACCCTCCCCAAATGAGCGACAGACAAAACAGCATGATCTTGTCATGTGTTTATTTATCTTCTGCTTGGTCTGTCAGCAACACCACTCTGTCCCATCACGCATGCGGCAACAGACGCAACGTCTTCTTCACTGCCAATGACTTGCATGCCAGCGCACTCACATCACACGCCGTACGTAGGCAAATTGTTGGAGCCCAATTTGAGCCGGTTTCACATTTGCGTTGATTTCCGAAATTGCCTGCATTTTTACAGACCCGCTTGCCATCTTGTTACATTTCACTTCCTGTCCCACCACTTCTCCTGCCTCTTTTCTCTCCCGTTTCGCCTCTAGGCTTGCTTTCAGTCGCCTCCTTTGCTCCTCCCCTTTCACTTCAGGCCTCGTTTCTCCCGCTTCCCTCCATCCTTTCAGCTTCTCCTCACTCTTCTGCCGCTCAGCTTACTCCTTTCTTCTTTCTCTTCTCTTCTTCCCCTCCCACACTGCTATTGGTTTCCTCTTCATTTTCTTCTTCTCATTCACTCCGCTTTAAGCTTTTTTCTCTTTATTCTTACTCCATGCTGACCAACTATCGGTTTTTATAACTTCTCATGTTGACACACTTTTTACGATCATGATACTGCTTTGTTCTCATTTTTGGAATAGAGTTTCGAGACTACCAGTAAATCAGTGTAATGAGATGTATTCACCCTATTTCGTGTAAGATGTTGAAGGATTGACAGTAGAATTTTTCCACAATGATATGAGTAGAGCTGACGTTTCCATCAAATTTCACATTGCCTTGCCTACCCAAAAGTTGTTCTTATCTAGGGTGGACACCCACAGCGGGAGTCGAACCGTGACACGTTAACGACTCGACCACATTGCCACGAGTACCCTTGAGTCACAGGGCATAAGGTCATATCATATTCTTTGGTGGGATTTCCGATGAAGCAAACGTTTATTTGCTATAACCAGCGACTACGTTACTTATTTTTCCTATTGGAGTCCAGTCGTTCATCACCTTAGACGAAATAGGGTGAATACCTCTCATACTGCTTTGTTCTCTTTTTACTTTTTCTCTCCCTACTTCTTGGCTCATTCCATCTTCCCTCTTCACTTCGTACCAACTTTTCTTGCCCTTCTCCCCTTGGCGACCTATAATCTTAAATCACCACCATCCATTTTTTTTGATTTGGCCATTTGCCTAAAAGCCTTTTAATTTATACTACTCATTACTTATATCCTTCTCTAATTTAAACCACCATAAGTGCTCTACTTCAATTCCACAGAATGGTCTCGCTTACAACTTTTGCAAAGTCTCTTCATTATCCCAATTTGGCATGTGTCTCCAGCACTCTGGCACTGGGATGAACGCAAGCACCCGAATCTTCTGCCCACAGCACTAAATAATTTTCTGAAATTTTTGAATTCATTTTTTTCTTCAATTATTCAACTCCATAGATCGACCCGCACATTGTAATTGTATCCTAAAGGTTTTATACCAAACTCCCGCCCTAACAACTCTAGAGACCCATCCAACTGGCACGATTTGGTCGGATGGCTCCGACTTGACCCAGGGATGGTTGATATCGTCAAGGCCAACTGATCGGTACATTAGAGATACAAGATTGATTGTATGTGAGTGTGCTTATTCCACTTTTGCCTCTCCACATGCGAAACACTGTCATATCACACTGAATGAATACTTCCTCTTGTGTGACAAACTGAACAGTCGTAGGACAGATGAACTGGCTAACCTCCTTGTGTCCAGCAGCTTTTCAGACAAATGTCAAGAGAACTCTCGGACTTCCCATCCCGCCACATTTGTAAAGGATGCAACATAGAAGTATGAATTCGAAACAATGGTGGCTTTTTTCATCCACAGCTTTAAGTTCACTTTGCTCTGTCGTCCGGATCTCATCGGCGCCCTTAGCTGAAAAGAGAGGCCTCTGTCAATTTTTTTCTTCGGTTAGATTTGAGGCACTCATATATGTCATTAAGCTAGACCAAGCTACTGATTTGTGAACAGTAGT